AGAGAGAGAGAGAGAGAGAGAGAGAGAGAGAGAGAGACCAATAGGACTCTCTAATGCCATGAAGTAAATCTAAGCAATGTTACCTGGACCTTAGGTGCATCTAAAAAAAAATTGTCAACTTGTTCTGGTCATGTTTCACAAAACAAAACAAAACAAAACAAACAGCACTATTTATTAATTTCTTTCCATAACAATTCAGTATATTTCCCTTCTGAATTTTAATGGAACATGAAAAAAAAAGTAAATAATGCAATTATATAATGAATTTGTAAAAGTTTTAAGTAAATTAATAAAACAAAACAAAACAAAACAAAACAAAACAAAACAAAACAAAACAAAACAAAACAAAACAAAACAAAACAAAACAAAACAAAACAAAACAAAACAAAACAAAACAAAACAAAACAAAACAAAACAAAACAAAACAAAACAAAACAAAACAAAACAAAACAAAACAAAACAAAACAAAACAAAACAAAACAAAACAAAACAAAACAAACAGCACTATTTATTAATTTCTTTCCATAACAATTCAGTATATTTCCCTTCTGAATTTTAATGGAACATGAAAAAAAAAGTAAATAATGCAATTATATAATTAATTTGTAAAAGTTTTAAGTAAATTAATAAAGTACAATTCTAAGTAGAACCCGACCGATATATCGTTTCGCCGATTTTATCGGCCGATATGAGCCTGTCGCAGATATATCGGTATCGGCGAATATGCCGCAAATATGCCGCCGATGTGAAACACTGCTCCACATTTTGTAGCCATTGAACGTCACAATCTTTTACAGTTGTGTGTGAGTGTGAGAAAACGGCTTCTGCATCTACAGAAGGAAAAAAAGGTTTCCACGAACGTCAATGGAATCAAAGGTCACAGAGTTTATTCCATGTTTTTTGGAACCAGTTCTGAGTAAGTAAACCTGAACGGGTGTAAGCAACCCTAGTGAAAGTGAAAAGACAGGGAGGGACGCATTGAGAGGAAGGGGCTTAGTTTTACCCGTCTTGCGGAGCGGGAAGTCATCTTTGGGGTCGTACATTCCCAGCACCGGGTGGTTGTAAGTGGAAATCCCTGTCTGAGGCGGTGAGCTCTGGTCCAGGGAGCTGTGCTGGGTTTTCCTGTGGAACAAATCACAAACACACACATAGGTACTCAAATATGTGCATTTCTAGACATTTCCACACACAGCTGCTCACCATTCCCAGCAGCGGGACGCTTTCTGCCAACTAATGGGAATGCAAACTCAGATCACCCATAATGCCTCAGTGCAGTCAAGCATGTTTATTCTGTTTACAAATAAACATGCTTGAGTATGACACACTTTCAGACTAAAAAATATCAGCTCTAGCCCATCAAAGCTCTGCAAAAATAAAGGGATTTGCTCCTTCTAAACAGGAAAGACAACTGCAGCGGGGCATCTGAGGTCAGCTGGCTTCCCCACAGACCCAAGAATTTAATCTGGCTCACCGTCCGCCCATCTCACACAGGCCAGGACCTCCAGATCTGTTTTAATAGCACATGCAAGCTACAGAAATGACTCACTCTCAGTCAACCCTAGTGCAAATGCTGTAATCAGTATGTCGGAAATAAGGAAGCAATTGGATGAAACATACACTGCTGTTCAAAGGTTTGAGGTCAGTCATTTTTTTTTTATTTTTTATTTTTAAAGAAATTAATTTTATTCAGCACGGAAGCATTAAATTGAACAAGAGTGACAAGTCAAGTTTTTACATTGTTACAAAACAAAAGTGTATTTTTTTTAATTAAATTGAAATTAATTAAAGATATAAAAAACTCAAGAAATATAAAATTCAAAAGCTAATTCAAAGAAAGATAAATAAATAAAGTAGATACATAATAAATAATTTAGCAGAAAAATTAATAAATAAAATAAAATATTTTAAGACATTACTTGATTATCAGAAATGTTGGTAGTTGCAGCTCTAGATAAAGCCATTAAATGTACATACGTAACAAGAATGTGAATATATCTTATAATTAGATTCAATTTAAAGAACTATTAAACAAATACCTTTTACAAATAACTATACTATTAAGTAAATAAGTAAATTAAGTAAACAAACAAAAAAAATACATTAAATAACATACATTATTTAATAAACAAAAATATTTATGAATTCAATAAATTCAGCTTTATATCATCACAGGAATACATTTAATTTTTTGCATTCAGATATAAATCAGAGATACTACTACTGCTACTAATGATTTTATTGTATTTTAGATCAAATAAATGCAGCCTTGTTGAGTATTAAATAATAATAAAAAAATCTTCAATCTTAAAAAATCTTATTGGCCCTAAACTGTTGAATAGAAGTTTATGTTCATAAGTATGTAAATGCAAAAGCCTGGAACATTTCTTTCAAAAGGAATGCTCTCTTTCCATTTTCCGAGCCTCACAGATGAGGAGTGTGAAAGGTGGGCTTGATGGAGTGTGAGTTTTTCACACAAACACACTCCTATTCACATCCACACCCTCACACACTGACACACGCCTCCTCTTCACCGCTATCTTTCACACATGACAAGCTCCCCAATCAAAACTTGCTCAAATATTTCAAGAACCCAGAGGTGACAGCTACATCTTTTGTGTGGTGAAGGGAGAAACAAAGCTGTCAATCAATCAAAGTCGAAACTTACATAACATGGTTTTACTTTGGCTTACAGCTGCAAGCAAACAACTACACTACACTCTGAAGTTTGGCATCAGCTTTGTGTAGCATGTGGATCTTTAGCTTCGTTTTGATCTGCTTTTAAGATCTGTCTTAGGTAATCTGATCACAGCGCTAAATACAGGTGTAAACAGGTCCGAACCACTTCAGTATTCGATCACTCAAACCACATTCAGAGCTAGTTAAAACACTTGTGATGACAATATATATGACGTGACATGTGGCCAAGTATGGTGACCCATACTCGGAATTAGTGCTCTGCATTTATCCCATCCAAAGTGCACACACACAGCAGTGAACACACAGGCAGGCAATTAACGGAGCAGTTGGGGGTTCGGTGCCTTGCTCAAGGGCACCTCAGTCGTGGTATTGAAGGTGGGAGAGAGCGCTGTACATTCACTCCCTCCACCTACAATCCCTGCCGGTACGAGACTCGAACCCGCAACCTTTGGGTTACGAGTTCGACTCTCTAACCATTAGGCCACGACTTCCCTCAAAGTTTATGGAGATGCTGGGGATTGAACCCAGGGTCTCATACATACAAAGCATGCTCTCTACCACTGAGATACATCCCCATCCCCATATTCATAGTGTAAATGTTAATCTGTCCTGATGCATCTCAGATAGCAGTGAACAACTACTCACTTGCCAATCAATCCCTGTCCTCATCATTTGGAAAAAAATATATATATAATTAATACAAAATTAAAGCCCACCAAAATAAATAAATAAATCGTTAGATTTTTTTGTGATAAGTGCAGCTGACAAATATGCAAAAACAAATCAAACAAAGAAACAGCAAATTAATCTCTTTCTTACAGGGGAAAAAAAAATCTGATTTTTTTTGTAATAGGTGCAGCTGACCCCGCACTGTTTGTCACAAATATGCACAAAAAACTAAAACAAACA